GATCTAATTAAACAGCATACCGTGTACAACAGAAATCCGAATAAAAGTCCGAATACTGAATTGAAACGGAAATGCTGAAATAGCCAGAATACCGAAAAAAAGAAAATTTGCAACTTTGAACTTGATAATACTTCAGCGCCGATGCCCCTACTGAGGCGGATACCGGTACTTGTACCGGTGGGCAATGGTCTGGCCTCGATGCTGCGAGGCCAGGCCAGACCCTGGACCGTCCAGATGGACGGTTCAGCCTCAATCGGCGGGCGGCAGCTTCAAGAGCGCCGCCAGGCCCAAACGAAGTGTCGTTTGGGCCTACCCAATGGGATTAGTCCAAAATCAGGCCTTTAGGGCCTGTAACCCCAAAGGTCGGGCCTTTAGGCCCTGGTGTGTCCCTCCGGCCCTAAGTCGGGTCCGGTAGGACCCGTGTGAGTCGAAGATGTAACAGAGGTCCTCCGGCTCCCAGGTACCTCAGGCGGCAATGGCCGCCGTGCTGGCTCAGTCGCCCTGCTGCTGCTCCACTTGCTGCTGCGCTAATGCTGCGCTGCCGCTGCTGCTCCTTGCTCGCTCCTGCGCTAAACTTAGCGCATCAAAACAGCGCTCTGGCGCTGACCATACCGTACCGGTATAGTGCCGGTAGGTCGATGCCTCCAAGTGAGGCTGTACCGGTACTTTATACCGGTGGGTCAGAGGCCGGCCTCAATGCTGCGAGGCCTGGCCATGCCCTGAACCGTCCAGATGGACGGTTCAGCCCCAACCGGCGGGCGGCAGCCTCAAGAGCACCGCCAGGCCCAAACGATAATGCCGTTTGGGCCTGCCCGTCGGGTACTGGTCCAAGATCAGGCCCTGAGGGCCTGTACTACCCCAAGGTCGGGCCTTTAGGCCCTGATGTGTCCCTCCGGCCCTAAGTCGGGTCCGGTAGGACCCGTGTGCGTCGAAGATGTAACATTACCTCTCATCGACAGCTTGTATAACAACGCTGTGCACAGCACTACCGGCCTGACTCCCAACCAAATGCATCTTGGTTGGAAGCCCAGATCTGCTCTTGACGTTCAGTTACTGGGTAATCAGCCCACAGCAGCACCTGGCAGCATTGATTTGCTGTCAAATACGGCAAGATGCTGCAGCAGGCTGTAGAACAGGTTGGAAAAGCTCAAGATGCTATGGTAGCATCTGAAAACAAGCGCAGACGGCCGTCTGCGTTTCAAGTAGGGGAAAGAGTATGGGTAAAGTCATCTGAGTTAGGACGGGAATTGGGTATATCTAGAGAGCTCATGCCACAGTACTTCGGACCTTGGGAAGTTTTAGACATAGTTGGGATGCACCGGACGGACCCTCTTGTGTTTTCCGTGCATCCAAACCATGCTCCTTTCGCTGAGACCGACAGGTTTCCCTCGAGGAGATCTAAGCTGCCCCCAACCATGCACAGACACGTGGACATTGATGATATCTTTGAGCACAAGCTGACGCCTGTTCCCAAGCCTCCAGGCAGGGGACGTCCGCTGAAACTGCAGATGCGGTACAGAGTGTGGCTCCGGGACCGTATAGATCCTAAAGAAGACAGATGGTTCACAAGAGAAGAACTAATGAAGACTGCTCCCCAGGTTATCTCAGGATATGAGAGAAGGTTAACGGGGAAGCAGCCTGCTGATTGAAGACTTTGCAGAGGACTCGCCGTACCTGCATAGGGACCTTACAAGCAAGCATGTGCCCGCCCTAAGTGAAGGCGGGCCCCGAATCTCAATGAGGCCCAAATTTGTCAATATTGCAACGCATTGGTGGGCGCCGACGATTACCACGCGCCAGTTGGTTACTCCCACCCTGTTCGTGAGAATCAGAAATATTCGAGAGCCTTCCAGGTTCTTCCAGCAACGCAGGGGAAGCAGGGAACACCGCACGTTTGTGCCTGGGTGGTCGGGCATGCCTAACCAATTTGCTAGCTGAATGGGCCTGGGCGCAGACACTTTGTCCCAGCCGCACGAGGCCAGGCCATGCAGCCAACAAGCCAGGCCACTTTGCATATAGCGAAGTGCCTGGCCGAGGATGAGGCATTCGGGCGCTTGTTTGTGTAAGTGGCAGTGTTGCTGGAGCGTTCGCTTGCTCCTGCTGGCTAGCGCTAGTGCCTGATGCGAACGCGGCAGCGAGTGTGAGGGCGCTGCAACCAGGCAGCTCGGGGGTGAGCAAGAGAGGGCGAGTGAGGGAGATGGTGTGAGAGCACTTACCTGGTCTTGGCGGAGGTATGCATGGTCGACATCTGCATGTAGTTCGGTTGCTGCTGCTGACATCAACTGGTTGCTTTGTCATTTTGTAGGCTGGTAGAGTAGCTGTAGGATCGTAGTCTGGGCGCTGAGCGCCGATTAAGGGGAAGAGCTTCGGTTGCAGCTGTACGTTGGTGGCGGCGAGAGTATGGTTCTCCTTTGGTGTGACATCAGTGCATTTCTGCTTTCTGGCTTTCAGTGTGATTTTGCAATCTGGAAGTCTGCCATTTCGCTGTTGCTCATTTTCCTTGCGTTTGTTGTGTTCTATACGGATCTGTCCAAGACCAAATGCATGTGCTGGAAACCAGAGGGAAAATCAGCCTGCTTGAAAGAAGACACGAGAAAATAAAAATCAGCCAGCATGCTGTCATCGCGCATGGTGAACTTCTTCAGACGGCAATTATGTGGGAGTGTCACAATAATAGTGTGTGTGGCATAGTTAAGGAGATCCAGAATTGAAACAGCCTTACCTCATAAAGTTCTATCAACTTCTATGTGATTTTTTAGATCATTATAAATTTATAATGTTTCGAAAACTCGATGGCGGATTCATTTTTGTATTCTGAGAGGTGCAAGGTCCACCATGTCTGTGTACTTGAGAGCATGGAATGTGTACAAAATTACAAACCCATTTGCTTTTTTTTTTTGCTTTTTATTTTATTTTATAGCACACCTGCATTTTATATTTTGCCTGTTCTCTTAGGGATGCGCATTCGTATGCATTTAGTAGTTCTGCATGGGGAGAGGGAGAGGAGGAGGAGACGGGAAGAAAGAGGAGGAGAGTTGGGGGAGGAGAAGAACAGGGTGGGGTCCTCAATGCTCACCAGCAGAGCAGACTTCTAGAGACTGGTGCCAGAGGCCATTCAGGGTTGGGTTGCAGGGAAAAATGAGCTGAGGAGCAGGTGTTGGGTGTGGACGGTATGTGGCCACCCATGGGGACTGGACAGAGGACTGGTTTGGGTGCGGACTGTGGAGCACCGCATCCAATTTTTGCAGTTGCAGTTGCTGTATTAAATGGCGCAGTGCAGACAGATGTCATAAAAACTTGCATGGGCTACACCCTCATAATCCTCACAATGCAGAGAAGCGGTTAACAGAGCCCTAAATTTTCAGAGTTTTGTCAGGGTCATTATAAGAAACGTCCTTTAGTGCTGGGGGGTTTTAACCAGGGCTGAAAAGTGGGGGTCCCTGTGAACCGCTTTGTGACAATGCAACGAATGCCGATCACGTGCTGTGGATGAAAATCAGGTCGTTCCTCGCAGTGGGGCATTGAGCAAGTTCGTTGGGGTTCCGCTTTGCAGATATTCCCTGTGTATGGACTGGCCGTGACGGGGCGCGATCCAGAGCAAGGCTGTTTTTAGCTGTTGCGAGACCTGGTCTGCAACTGCTTGGCCTGGTGGCGATACCCTTTCAGCACAGTGTCACTGCAGGTGGTTCATGTGTGAGAGTCTGTTCTCTACCACAGACCGCTTTGAATGTTCCTCCTCTGGCAAGGATGGAGAAAGTCGAATTACGGGTGCAGTAGATGTGGGACATGAACGGAGAGGATATGGCGGGTGACAGCATTTGGGATAGTAGTCCACCCAGTAGTGACACATAGACATACTCTCCATGACCGCTTCCTGAAAACAGTGACGGCACATGGCTTGTTGCTGACATGCCAGCGGGAAAGCAGGCTCAGGCCAGCAGCAATTCATGCATGGCATATGTCAGGGCCACAAGGACATATCGGGCAATTAATAAGCGGGTGGGGGGGATGAATGCGAGACACAGACGGGTTGCAGTTTTCATGGCAGAGGCTGGCAGTGAATAGCCCTTCACAGTGATTGGGCCAGAGTTTATGCCGCGCTTAGCGTGCTAACAAACTGGCATGGCTCAGCCAATGTTCAGTGCAGGGGGGGGGGGCGAAGGGCAGAGGGGCACATGAACAGTGGCAGGGG